AATTGGGGTTGATTCTGTTGAATCTATTACTGATCCCGAAGAAGTAGAGAGAGTTTGCAAAGTGATTGATGAATTGTTTGCGTTAGATAGAAACATGGAAGCTGTTCTTGATGAAATGAAAGTAGATTTATCTCACGATCTTATCGTCGAGGTTTTAGAACGTTTTCGACATGCAAGGAAGCCTGCATTTAGATTCTTCTGCTGGGCTGCAGAGAAACCTGGGTTTGATCATGATTCAAGAACATACAACTCCATGATGAGTATTTTAGCAAAGACTAGACAGTTCGAGACGATGGTTTCTGTTCTTGAAGAGATGGGTGCAAAAGGGCTATTGACAATGGATACGTTCACTATCGCGATGAAAGCTTTCGCTGCTGCGAAAGAGAGGAAGAAAGCTGTTGGTATCTTTGAGTTGATGAAGAAGTACAAGTTTAAAATTGGTGTTGAGACGATTAATTGCTTGCTTGATAGTCTCGGGAGGGCTAAGCTTGGAAAAGAAGCTCAGGTTCTGTTTGATAAGCTGAAAGAGAGGTTTACGCCGAATCTGATGACTTACACTGTTCTGCTCAATGGTTGGTGCAGGGTGAGGAACTTGATGGAAGCTGCTAGAATCTGGAACCATATGATTGATCAGGGCTTGAAACCCGACATTGTAGCTCACAATGTTATGCTTGAAGGTTTGTTGAGGAGTAGAAAAAAATCAGATGCTATCAAATTGTTCCATGTCATGAAAGCGAAGGGACCTCACCCTAACGTCCGTAGCTATACCATCATGATCCGTGACTTCTGCAAACAGTCGAACATGGAAACCGCCGTTGAGTACTTCGATGAAATGATTGATTCCGGGTTGCAACCCGATGCTGCGGTTTTCACGTGTCTGATCACAGGATTCGGGACTCAGAAGAAGCTGGATACGGTTTACGAACTGCTCAAGGAGATGCAAGAAAAGGGACATCCTCCTGATGGCAAAACGTACAACGCGCTGATCAAACTGATGGCGAATCAGAAAATGCCGGAACACGCCACAAAGATCTACAACAAGATGATCCAGAACGGGATTGAGCCATCGATACACACGTTCAACATGATAATGAAATCTTACTTCATGACTAGAAACTACGAGATGGGAAGAGAGGCATGGGAAGAGATGATCAAGAAAGGGATTTGTCCTGATGACAACTCGTACACGGTTTTGATCAGAGGGCTTATAGGTCAGGGGAATTCGAGAGAGGCGTGTAGATACTTAGAGGAGATGCTTGACAAAGGAATGAAAACTCCTTTGATTGATTATAACAAGTTTGCTGCTGATTTTCACAGAGGAGGACAACCGGAGATATTTGAGGAATTGTCACAGAGAGCTAAGTTCTCTGGTAAGTTTGCTGCTGCAGAGATCTTTGCGAAATGGGCTCAGATGACTAGAAGGAAATTCAAACAGAGATTCATGGAAGATTGATGACTTGGTCAGGTTCTTAACCGGGTCTTTCAATTCACTGACTCGAGGAAAGCTTGTGCTTGTTAAGTTCATCTGTAAATCCTTGGTCTTTGAGACATAACTCTTACTTCAATCGAGAACATGGCTTCACTCGCACAGCTTGGACTTAACCGAACCACACTTGGGTTTTGCTTTGAGCCAACACTAGAGATTCTAATGGCTCAACGAGAACCCATCGAGAAGCATCATGAAGGCAAGATTTGAATAGAGAGAAGATAAGTTTGTTTTATAACATCAACACAACATGTATGATTACTAAGTGTGAGCCTCAAACTATACCTCATTATTTGTTATTTCATTTGTCTGATATATGAAAGAAGTAAGTTCTCCAAAAAACACGACTCAATTCCGCAATTTGCTTTGATACCAACAAACATATAGAAGTTAAGTCAAAACAAGCAAGCCTACATGATCTAATACAAAGCATCACCAAAACTTTTGTTCTATACACGTCTTCTTTCAGCTTCGTTCTCTGCGACAACAACGTGAAACTCTGATCCAAGCATGTCTTGTATGCCGACAAGACTCGTATCGCATTCCCAATTCTGATAATGCTTCGTCGAGTCTCAAGTGGAGTATGGCTTTGCTCTTTTCCTGTGTTCTCGGTGGAGTTCTCATCATCCACAATCATAGGATCTCTCACTTCGAAGTGTTCCCCGACCCAAATGAAGCCATTGCGGCCGAGAATCAAATCGATCCCAAGACTTTCTATGCAGTGAAAATGATTGTAGCTTCTTTTAACCAAGTAAGGATCAACCTTCAGAAGTTGTCCCTTCTCGAGCTGTGACAATAATCATTGTTTAGAGTCATAGACTAGCAAAATGTATAACTTTGACTATGTGCAAGATCAGAATCACCAACCTTACCATACTTCTGACTTTTATCTTGTAGAACCAAGCTACCATCACGCTGAAAGTCGTGTACTTCAGCCTAAGAGTTTGTACAAATCAAAGAAGGAACCTTTAGCTTATGTTTTCAAAGATGAAGATAGCTTCTTAATCATAGTACTTACACAAACGACATCATCTTCTACAAAGATATTCCGCATATTGAGTTCATCTTCAGACGTTTTTCGCTTCTGCCAACATCGACAAAACCTATATCAAAATCATTGAACACAACAGACAATGCAAATGGAAAAATACCAAACAATTGAGGAATCAGATTGTAACCTGAACAGCATCATCATGAGGCAGATCCATGTAAGCAAGTGTAGAGTGGATATCCACTCTCCAACGTTTTTGAGCAACCTGAATAAGTAGAGTAGGATTAAGTAAGATTTATTGAGCAACTTTTTGCTAATCTCTCAATCTGACTTCAAAACTTAAATCACACAATTACAAAAACTCTTACCTCAATGACACGGCCTACAACAATATCATTAACCTCAGGCTTGTACCTAGCTCGCAAGGTGCGTACATAGACGAGCTTGTCCACGCGCTCCACAACTCCGCAGACCGTTGACAGCAACTCACCTTCGACCTCGTAAGTTCCGTGTCCCTTAAGTAAGGCATCTTCGTGGTTGACGGCGATGGAATCAGTGACGGAAACAGAGTTTTGCGCCGTCGAGGAGAGAGATTGTAGCTGCTCCATAGCTCTCTCAAACCTGACCTTCTGAGTCTGGTTCAATGGTAACTCTAGCTTTCTCATCACCATTACAGAATCTTTCTCTTTACCTTCCTAAATCAAAGCAACACAAACAATGGCGACTAGTTTTTGGGACACAAGAGTTATTTGTTGAACAGTCCACCTTGTGGGCTGTTTATAAACTCTTCGATTAAGCCTTTTTTGGGATTTACCTGATAATTGTCGAATAAAAAAGGTAGGAAACAAATAATCCTCAATTTCCTTTTTGGATACCTTCCTAATCCTTCTGCTATATGTCAAGCTTACTGGATCTTTCAACTCACTGACTCTTAGACAGCTTGTGCTCATTAGTAAATGGTTCTACTTGAGCTCACCTGCAAATTCCTGGTTTTCGATCCATAACTCTTACTTCATTCAAGAACATGACTTCAGTCACACAGCTTTCTAAGAGTCATTGAGAACCCCATTGAGAAGCACCAGGAAGCCAATGTTCGAACAGAGAGAAGACAAGTTGTTTTATAACATCAACACAACATGTATGGTTACTTATAAAGTCCTAGCCTCAAACCAGTCTCTGCTCTTTGTAACTATCAGTGACAGTATTTTAGCAAAATTTCAAAACTTGACTACGTTCTTCGTCTATAGTTTATTTTAGATATAGAACTTCTGCGTCACAAGTTATGAAAGAAGTATATACAAACATAAGACTTAGAGACAGAATATGAAGTAGGCTCAAGTGCATAAAGAACAAAAGAAGGCATTTTTTTTAATGGTTTGACCTTAATATGTAAGCATCTTGTATCTTGGTAACATGTAAGTACGGCCGAAGATGTTTACATTTAGCATCAGAGAAAAACACTAAATTGAATATCCAAAATCTCAAACCTAAGAAACTGAAGCAGCATTTGCAAGTTTGAGTGTGAGTGAAAAGAACTTATCGAGAATAATAGCTTCATCATCAACCTTATGGACTCTTGCTTGTTTTTGCGTCCTTGTTTCTCCAAGGATTAAGAGCTTCTCTCATTGCTTGAGCTTCAGGAGAATTTTCAAACGCCCGTTTCTCTGCTTCTATTACAGTAACCTTGTCGTCTGCAAATTTTGGTCACAAAACTATTGTCATCAACGCTTTCATATGGAGAAAAAAACCAAACCAGTGTAACGTAGAAACTAAACATGAAGATTACAACTACAAAATAAAGTAAGAAACTTCAATGTCTATAAGCATTCTTATAAAGTTCAGACTTCAGATAAAGCTTATAAAGTCTCAATAAGCCAAAAATGTTCAACATTCCTATCCAAGACTATCCAAAATCAACGAAATTAAACTGTTCACAGAATAAAAAAAAACCTAATTTTCGATCTACTTTGAGTCTTTTGACTAACCAGTCATTTACACAACAAGAGAATTCGCTGCTTCAATCGATAGAAAAACATAAAATTAGAATCGAAAAAGAACGTTAGAGATTTAGAATTTACAGAAACCAGTCTTGATCATGAAGAATTCCATGCCTCCGCCGATTATAGCCGACCCAATCGCGATCTTCAAATACCAATCCAGAAATTTCACTTTTGCCATCATTTTCAATCTTCGCAAAAAATCTCCGATGAAGCAAAATGAGATATAATTCGTTAGATAATATTCCGATGAAGCAAAAAGCTTCGAGGATTCAACAATGAAAATCTCTCATTTTAGTTCTTCTTCTCACAATGAACAGAGTGTTAAGAACCTTTAAAACGTTGTCGTATCGTCAATTTGACTTTGGTTCAACTGATTGATCGGTTTTTGAAAACCGGTCCAAAGCAAGACAAAGAGAAATGGGCCTATTTTGCGAAAGCCCAATTCTACGAGAAAAGTGCGTGACTGCAAAGTAGAGTTATTAACTTATTATCAACGC